ACAGTAACTGTATCCCAGAAATGAGCCAAATCTTGCCAACTTGCCAAAGTTGCAAAAAAAATGTTCTATTGGGTAAAACTCTGTTAATGTTTAATTTAAAATTGAACTAAAAGTATAGTGCATATTTTATACCGATATGGATACATATCAGTTCAAAAACAGAGGTTGACTTTTGACACATCAACGTTACTTCAAGTACAGTACTTCGTCGTTGTCTTAATATAGTCTCCTTGCAAAATATTGTTTTTGCACTTGAGATCTGGATCTGCTTAAATCAGTTTGAATCTGCTTAGACATATGCCCTCATATTCTGTTGCAAGCACTGAGTTTCTGCTAGTGCTTTCAATATTTTTATACTAGTGGTATCAATCTTTTTAAGGTGTAAAGGAACACTGGTGTGCACAAAGAGTTCAAAACCTAAGAACATAAGAACTTAAAGGTAACTAATGAGAAGAACCTATCAGTCCAATCTAGCCTGGTTTTTATTTAGTAGTTCCAGGTTATAATCCAGACATTTCCTGAAAGAAACCAGAGTAAATCTTTCTGGAGAACCAGAGTCTTTCAGTGGAACTAGACATGGAGCAAATATTCAACAGTGATTAACTGCAGGCAGCCTGGTACAATATACAGTGATGCTTATAAAGGTACGACAAAAATCGTAGTGAGAAAACAGTTCACTGTGGAACAATGCAATTTGTTTTTGTAAATCACCCCTGGGGAACACAGACAATGACAGAACACACCAGATGTTACTATATTGGCTCAATGTGACCTCCAGTTATGACAATGATGGCTTGAATAATCTTTTTGTTGACAACAATAATATGAGTGCCCTCTGGTGTGTTGTAACATTGGCAACAGAAATACATTCCACTCACCTTAATTTGTGTAAGTTATGAAATTTCATTGTTCCATATTTATTTATTTTCACAATGTTTCACAGTTGTTAAACTTGACAAACGTTATAAGCACCTTACATCAGTGTAAAAGAAATTCTGAGTGCCTTTTTTTTATAGAATAGATTTTGTATGGTGGAGCTCTAGAAAAAACCTCAAATTAGATCAAGTGGATCAACTTTTAGAAGGAGCTGTTTAATATGTCCTTGAGCAAACTGTGATTAGCCAGGCTGTCACAGTTTCTGTATTGATAGTTAAAGTTGCTCATTATTATCCAGTGTCGAGCAGCTTCACCGAAAGACAGTTTTGAAAAATGAAATTCAGATAGGAGTAGTTCTGTAGCTCTTCTACTATCTGTGTTCTTTCTACAGTCCAGTACAGTCTTGCCTTGCACTTGAACTCACCATCTTCACAGAAGCATTACAATGGGCATTCAAGGTGAAAACTAAAGTTCTCAGATTTCAGATAAGCTTAAATTTCGAAATATATAACCACAAAAGACATGCCATCTGGTCCCATAATTGCATACAGCTCATAAGTTGAACATTCAAGATTTTGTTTAAGTTTTTGTAGAAGAAACAAAGTAGAAACTGATTGTATAAGACAAAGTGAATTATGGAATGTGCCAAAAGGAATTAAATCACCAGGACCTGATTTGTTTCAAATCAGTCTGGAATACATGTGCTTAGAGTTTAATTAAATGTGCAAGATCCTAGGGAATTTGTACATCTGTTTTTGTTGGGATGTTTTCCTGAAAGCAGTACTAATGAAAATGTATATAATGCATCATTTGAAATATATTCAAGAACAATAATTCCTGATCTAATTTAAGAGCTATGAAATATACAGCTTCTTCCTTTATTTTCAAAATATCATGTTCCCATTTGGCTGCCTAGATCCTTGCTTTATTTTCCAAATTTAATTCTAAAAACGCGCAGGTGTCATTTCATTTTGTATCTGTGTTTCTACACCCTTTCCTGTTCCTAAGACCCCTGTTGCTTTTAATTGTATGAAATGAAAAATTTGCCCTGAGAAATGTGAAGGACTTCTGAGGACTCTGCGATGTGTAACCCACGCTGCTATAAATTTGCCAAGTGTAAAGAAAACACAAGATTCACATTAGGATGAAGTCAGGCTGGAACAAAAGTAGATACAGAACATTCTCACTCTTGTAGCTGTCATGCATTTTTGATTCTGTTTGGCAATATGTTTTCAAGCAACAAGAACACTCCATATTCTCTGAGCCCCTAGAGGACAAACCAGAGCTGCTTTGTGCTTAGTTTAAAATGTGCAGTAGGAAGCACAGCCCATTAACCTTCAGCTCTTCTCAGAATCGCATTCTTCCATCATATTTTCTTATTACGGACAGTTTTAGTCGAAGACTCTGAACTGTGATTTACTGTATGTTGTGAGAACCACTGCTCTCAATGATTTTAAGACTTTGTCCCACTGTCTCCTTTTCAATTAGCTAAACAGTAGCGGTGGTATCAAAGAAATAAGTAAAGCAGCATGCACTTAACAACAGAGTTTCCTAACAAAAGAATCAGCATTCTATTAAAGATAAAGGGATATTTTAAACCTTTACCATGTAGTCTCCAATCTCCTGATAACTTAGAAATATGTTACAAAGTCTATTGTTTGTTATGTATGGTTGTAGTCTGTCTGAGGTAGGACTATACAGACTTGGTCTTGTTCCCTATTACACCATCATCATGTCTAATTCTAGAGGTACAGTATGTGGTATTTCTTAAGATATTCAATAGCTGAGACAAAGATCTTGGTTCCCACCCATTAGATACAATGCTTCACACTGTATTTACCACAGATTTAAGTTCTGATATGCATCACCAACATTTTGTTGGCTTGAACAAGTAGCCAACCACTAATCGATAATCAAAAGCAACACCTCATTAGAGGCAATGAAGAGGGGTTTTTAATTACCTCAAACCACTTCTTGTTGTGCATTTGAAAATCGACCCCTCTTCTCCAACATCCGCTCTGGCTCCAGGCTTGCTGCTGGTCAGGCAGATCAGGCAGACCAGGCACTGATGAGACACTGACAGAAGACAGGCACCATTAGCTTGTTCTTATAAGCTTTCCCTCTCCACCCATGTCGTATTCTTACACTTTCATCTTACGTTAATATTATAAATTCAAACTAGAGTCTCAAAAGAATGTTTTTGGTACGACCAAGCCCTGTAGTAGTACTGTCATCGATTATTTAAGTCTTTGAAAGTTGAAATGAAGCAATACTTCCTCTTCCCTTAATCCTATCATTCTTGAACATACGGTTGCACGAATGCTCATATTTCAGATCATTTCAGGTCATTAAGGTTGGCCCCGATTATTTTTAAGAATAATACATTAAAATTAAAACCTTCTATCACAAAATATTTTTGTAACTAAACAGTGTATAATCACCTCACTATATTGTTTCATTTACAGAAATGTGCTAACTGTCCCTGTTACTTTTTCACACCCACAAAAGCTGTAAATAATCTACATGGAACTTCTGTGAATTTCCTCTGACTGCATGGATATTTCTTTGTAAATTAGATACAACTATGGTAATTCAATCTACCACTCCCGAAGGCTATTAATCCATTTCAATTTCATTACTTTTTTGCATAGGAGTCTTAGGTTTTGTTGTAATTTTAGTGGTTTGATCTTTAATTTCTCAGAGATATATTTGTGTGATGACACGAAGGAACTCATTCATACACAGTTCGATTTTATACATTTTTAAATTACTTTTTTTTTAGAAGAAAGGAGTAGGTCTAGTAACAAAACTATTTTTGAAAGTCATTAAACACAGAGGCTCTTCAAAAGGAAAAACTACTGCTGCTGATTGCTACATTTGAGAGTTTTTCAAGCATTATCCAGAATTCTTTACATGTTGAAATCAGTACAGTGTACAGTGATAAAGCAAAGCAAATTGACATTTGACTACCTATTTAGAACAACTTAAAGTACAACCAAATATTTCTCAGGGTGAATTTGAGTGTAAACACTCACTGTCAGGCACTTCCTCAATGGATCAAGCAAGAGGTATGCAAACCCACACATTTAAAAAAAAACCTGTATTGCTTCCTGTATCATATTAATGAAACATGCAATTATGGAAAGCAGGATAAAGAGGCTGTAATATGATGGAGGATAACTGAACTTATCAAAGACAGCACTTGAACCAACCTCACATGAAGGGAGACAGACAGTGCAGGATGTGGAGTCACACGGAGCTGCCCAAGGTGATTCAGACTTCACACTTGAGAAAGTGAAATGAGTAGACCATCCGGCTATAAATGAATTCTAACCTAGGTATCCCTGAGTCCTATTTAGAGTGGTGATCCCATGGAAAAAGCTGTAATCCATACACCGCTCGAGTTGCATGTGTTTAGATTCTCAGCCAGTGGTACGTTTTTCTAGTTTGTTTGTCAGAGTAATAAACAAAAAGGAACAACAAATGCTTTGCAAAAGAAAAGTATCATTTAGATCAAATCTCGAGGGAGGTTAAGTAGTATATATCATTTTTAAGGACATCTGAAACATTTACTGTGACTCAAAGACTGACTGCAAGAACATTTCTGCTACTAGCGGATTTTGACTGCGTCGAAATAGACTGCTAACAGTTCACTTTATGTAAAGCAAAAACTTTACTGGACATCAAAAAATAAAAGAAAATGGAGACCTAGTGAGCAAGAGTAAGTTTCTTCTCATACCTGAGCTTTGGAGGAGCTAATGATAAAAACGATGTGATCCTCCGCTCTTCACTGCTAACGTGCTGGAAAAGAGTTCCAAGTGATTGAGCTGAAATCCCTCAAAGCACATCTTAACGTATTGAACCATTTATTTAGCATATAGTGTATGGGCTCATGTTGTTCTGTTTATTGAGGATATATCTGTTGTCATGGCAGCCTTGTGTATCATTACAACATGAAAGAAATAATATAAAATCTTCCAACATAAGACTTTGATCTCACAGGGACAGGATTCAAACTTTGCCTAAATGTGGTATGAGCTAATTAAAGTCCAAGAGTTTGCATCATAGCTTGAAGACCTAAAAATTATGTTCACGCTCATTTTTGGCCTAGATTGTCAGTATAGACATCCTAGACTTAGTAAGCCCACATGTGTTGTGCTGGTTTTGAAGCACATTATGTTTATCCAATCATAACTGGCCCAAAATCAGACTCTATGACCTTGTTTTCTGAGACCTAGTTCAAGAGCCCATACAAAATTGTGTGTTTTATATACTTTACCATGCATTTTAAAAAAAGGAATATCACCTATGAGCACCAGACTTAAGTCAAGCAAAACATATTCAGTTCTGCAGTGGAGAAGGAGGTTGCAGAAAGTGTTGTTTGATTGGGTGTGTACAAATGCTTGTCTCTTCTCCATGATGGACAGCGCAAAATAGAATCTATACTCGCTGTCTGCTTTTCTGTCACTGCCAGCAGATATTTCCAAAATATAATAGTCTCATCTCTTTTCAGCAGATGAGATGAGTGATGCTATCACTGGAGAAACAGAAAAAAGAACAGAGGAAAAAAATACTAACAATGCTTGGGGTGCCAGAAACATAACAGAATAATAAATGGTGAAAAATAAATCTTAATATTTTCAGACTTTGGAGAGTTTGGTGCTGACACAAAGGAAGATGTTGAAGCTCTAGGATCCAATGCAAGAAAATAAAATCCCATCACTCATTTAACAAAAACATAAAGTAAAGGATAATGCAGACCAAGCTGTTCTGTTGAATAGTGAGAGAAAGGCATCTGATATGGCTAAAGTTTTCTCAGCTTGTTTTGCTCCTCTTTCATTGTAGCACAACTAAGCTTTCTATTGACAACTGTCTATAACATGAAAACCTGATGGAGATGTTATGAAGAGTTGTTGCAGGGCTGGGTGGTGCAGTGGTGCAGTGGTTAGCTTTGCTACCTTTAAATTGTGACACTTTCACAGATATTTTATTTAATTAGATTCCTCTGTTCTAAAACTTTTTAAAATGCACTTTTATAATCAAAATAAATAGCTCAGTCTACATGAAACTGTAAATTGAATGTCTGAGTTCTCATAAACATAAACTAACAGGAAGAGACACAAAGGTTCAGGCTGAAAACCACTACATGGCAAACAATTTAAATAAGAGTTATTCATTGTGCTCATGTAATACAATAGAATATTATCGCAGTCCTATCAGTTCTTATGCACATTTTTGGAAGTTTGATGTGCTGTCGAGCAACAAAGAATTAAGATTGAATTAAAAGCTTCATAATTTAGTGTCTGAAACCAGATAAGCTTCCACTCTTAATTGCAAGCTGATTTAAATTGGAAAATCGTTTTTATTCAGCTTTTACTCAAAGCACCTCAATTAAGTTTTAAATTTTAAACTAAATCAACACTTTCTAAATTACAGACAAGCGAAAGCCCCAAAGAAAATTAAACAATCTTTTTATCTAATGAGAATAATATAGTCTTTCCGAGTGTTTAAAGAAAATAAGAGTGTGTACTCAAAATCTTGTAAAAACACAAGGGAGACACAAATGTGTCCGAGATTAAAAGGTTAGGTTTGATTAACTAAGATGTATTTGTTTAGGACTATCTAATGGACTTGGGTGAATTTCTGTATTTGTACTGTGGAGGATTTTGAGAATTTGATCATTTTATCACCTTTTAAGGAAAACATACAGCACTGTTTGCATTCTATTGAGGAATATATACAGCATGAAGACAGTGCTCGCTAGCTATACATTTTCTGACCTGATAACACACCTTGTAACTTCAAAAACAAAAACATATTTTGTGCAAACTATCTAAATTACGGCTGCAATGATTACAAGATTTAAAGATTTTGAATACAACGTGAAGGATGTTGGCTCCACAATAAGGTTGCAAGTCTGGGTTCCTGAAGCGCTGCTGCTTTTTTTTTTTGCTTCTTATACCATCCAGCACTTACTTCATGAAGCTTCCAATCAGAGCACCTACTGTATAGTGATAATAGCCACTTTTCAAACCACGTGCATTCAGAGCATAACATCACTCAAGCAGATATACTAAGACACATAAAGTGTTAAATTGGGGTCACCCAAGACAGCAGCCTAGCCCATTTATTCAATAACCTTTATGATCATATATATTGCATTAAAACTTGTCAGTTAATGAAAACAAAAGCTTTTGAAAGCAGCTGAAATGCTTGTACGATGTTTGCACCTACAGAAAGTCATAAACCATTTTGAGAAATGTTTCCGATCAATCAACCTAAAACTCTGTGTCACTTTAGCAATTCTAGTAAAACTGCAATGTCAATGTTTACTGACTCTTGTCTTCAAATGCTGCGGCCACAGTTTCTGCAGATGAAGGAGTCCTCATGTGCATAGCAAAGCATGTCTTAAATTGCAATTGGGCAAATGGCTAAAAACCATAGACCAAAACAAATGTTCCATATCTCAGACCTGCATTATGCTTGTTCAAAGGATTATGTGTCCCTCTTCTGCTGTCCTCACATTTATCTTTTAAAAGTCTTCACACCGCACTATTGTTATCAGCATGGCTGAAGGCCACCTCCACACAGAGCCACTCAACATGCTGTTGCCGCGACGATAAAAGTCTAAGGTGTGCTGAGGTACACTGCAGGCCAGATACCTGACCTGCATTACAGCAACAGGAAGAAAACAAAGACAGAAGGAGAAGGAAACAGATCAAAACACTTGCCAGTTCTCATACAAAGTCCTGTAGCTGGCCAGTTACCATACATTCACAGCCCTGCGCTTATCCCCATTACAAAGACTGTTTCGTGTATTTATTGCACCCGCTTCTTGATTGCTTGCCTGTTTTCCACTTACTTTGATGTCTAGAGGGACTGTAGTGTAACAAAGGACGAAAAGTGGCTGGACCACATCTGCGAGTGCATTTGCCAAAAATAACCGATATTCCCTGAATTCAAAGCGCATACAAACCTTTCCTGCAATTTTTTCTTTATTTTCTCCACACAAAACAAACAATTGGATCCTTTATTTAGAATTGTATTTCTGTAACCAGAACATATAAAACAAGTGT